TATTGAACACATGAAGAAAGGGAGGTGCAAAAAGACATGGGAAGCCAAGACACCAGCTGAAATCTATCAGTAGTTAGAAAGCAATCCTGCCCCTTGTCAGTGCAAATATCAGCTGGTTCAGTCTCAACTGATGGCCTATAAAAAGATGTCTCATTACCAAGGTGTCACACAAGAAATTTCTCATGATGGGTAAAAGCAAAGAGCTCTCTGAAGACCTTCACATGATGGCATTGGTAACAGAAGGATTTCTAAACTGTTTCAATTGTCAGTTTATGAATGGACAAGAAGCTCTATAGAGAACTATTCCTTTCTTTTCATTCTGTGCAGCTGAGGCTGCAGAGGTGGAGATTGAGGGATGCGTCCTCAATCTCCTTTCTCTGTCTCAAAGTTGGAACATCAGAGGTCTGTTTAGACCACTGACATTTTAAAAAGCTTCCCAACAGGGCTCCAAAAACAAATTTGTAAAATATAAAAAAAAATAAATGAATAAAAAATGGAAAAAAAAAAAAAAAAAAAATAAAAAACTACTATCATGACAAACCTCACTGTGGGATTTCTTTTGGATTTCAGTTGTCAAGCACAAGCTCTTAAAAGAACAAACTTTCTTTTCTGGAAGGAAGAACTTTGCCCGGGATGGATTCAGGACCACACCCAAGTATTTTAGACACATAGAAGGCTGGAAAGTTAATTTTTTTTTTTTTTTTTAAGTTGATCACCCACCCAAAGGCCTGAAGCAGCTAACTTGTGCTTGTGACATTCACTGAGAATTGTAAGGGAGATGAATCCTTCAGATGGTTGTGTAGATAGCCTGTCACTTGGATACCCTAAATTCTGAGAAGGGCAAGCAAGAGTACCAAGATCTTTGTAAACCCCCTCAGCACAAAGGACAGGCCAAAGGGCGGTGCAATAATCTGGAAGTGGAAACCGCTGATGAAGTGGGTAATTGGGAACATGTAGATAGTCATATTGGATATCTACAGATGTTCCTCTTGTCTCAGAGAGGCAATTACTGACCTTGCAGATTCCATTCAAAACTTTGGAATGTGAAGGAATTTGTTGAGGCTTTGGTACAGTGAACATGTTTTGAATAGAACCCTTTGAACCCGTCTTGGAAAAAAAAAAAAGAAAAAAGACAGGTGGTAGAGTTTTCAACTCTATCATGTCTCCTTTTAAAACCATCAATTGAACCCACAAGTCTGGGACCCAGAAAGGTACAAAACAGATGACCCCCAATGTTAGGATTGATGGCACCCCCTCATTGTGAAGGTGGGTTTTAGGGAGAGCTTGGTGGTCTTTTGGGGTCAAGCCTTGTGTCAAAAAAAAAAAAAAAAGGATGAAGTTGAAGCCTGAGAAGAGAATAAATGTGCTCTGTTTTGAAGAGCCAAGAACTCATGAGGAGGGAGGTCTCGGCACTTGTGTATGGGGAAGCAAAACGTTTCCATCTGTGATCTCTTATGAATTGGTAAAGTGCCTCACCAAATAGATGAGGCATGTGTATGAGGCGCCTCTTACAGGCCGCCTCTTCTGTCAAAGCCTGTAACCTTAGATTTGAGGCATATAAACAGAGATTAGAGATGTCCTGGATATTTGTCTCATGATGTGTTCAAGGGTACCTACACAAAAAAGAGCAGAAAGGAGCCTTTGTAATTGCTCTGTGAGCGCATGATCTTTTAAAACTGGGTTATCTGGGTTGTTCTAGTCCAGTTAGCTGTGGTCTGACATACAGAAATAGCAGCAAGAGCTCATCAGAGGTCTGAACCTGCCAGGTTAGACAGCTTTCAAGAGAGTCTCAAATTTTCTGTCAGCAGAATCTTTAAAGCGGTAGTAAAATTTACTGAAAAAAACAAACAAACTTCTCCCTGCAAGGTAATGTCATAACATGCTAGTATGCATTCCATTCTAGCACATTCTGAAATATTTACCTTGACACAAAGTCCTCCAGCGGTGCGCCGTCACCGCTGACAGGGCTTTCATCTTCACCCAGTCTTCCTTCTGGCTCTGGCTGCTTGAATGGCCGAGCCGCGATGACATCACTCTTGCACATGCGAGTCTCAGCCATGGCACAAAGCTCTGAAGGAACGGTGATGTCACCGGCTGCAGGGACACTGAATATCTCCTGAATGGCGCATGTTTAGGAGATATTCCTTTTACCTACAGGTATGCTTTATTATAAGCTTACCTGTAAGAACAAATGAACAGAACATCTTCAATAGGTACACAGAGATGTTTATTTAGGACAGTGACAGCAGAGTCAACCACAGGAATAGCCCACTTATTTGCAAACTTTGTTTCCAATGGATAGAGTTCAGCAAAGATTTATTTATTTTTTTTAATATGGGAGTAAATCTCCTTTCAGAAGTGACCCAATTGTCCTAGACCACCCATTCTATTTGTTCCAAACAGAGAATGTTTTGCAAGTCTTTGTAGGTCTCTCTGTGCGAAATAGAGTCTGAAGAGACGAAGGGGAGCCAATTTGCACAATGCTAAGGACTTTGCAAACAGAGGTAATGAGCTTTTCAATATTAGCAAGCATGCTATGTGAAGCTCCCTCTGCAACATAGTGTGTCAGTCAGGAAATCTTCCACATCTTCCTGCAACATTGCCTCAACATTCCATTTTCTTTCAGCATCCTTTAGAACTGGTACATCGGGGTCCAACTCCAGTTGAGAAATGAGAGTAAGCGAAGAGGCAGGGTGTTTTTGAGCTCTAGATACAGATGACTGAGTTAAGGCTGTAATCTCTCTGAAGAATTGTGACATGTATGCAGAAAAGTTTGCTTTTGTCAGTGTGACAGACCCAACCGGGATAGGGGCTTTTGTAGGGGAGTGCAGGCTAGCCTCTTGCCTACTGATCATGAACCCTGGCATCTGAGTGGGTTCGGATACTGATTTGGGGCCTCTGTATCCAAACCAGCATTGACTGCTTCAACTGCTCTCCAAGACTCAGAGCAGATGTTAATATAATCAGTTCAAAACAACTTGATGCTGAGGTCTTTTGCTGTAATCTGTTTATTAAGGTGTGATGTGTTTACTGTGTCTTTGTTCCATTGTTAATTGAGTCACCTATTCTTTCTGTCTGTTGGCTAGTCCTCCTGGAGGTTCCTAAAAGATAACATTAAACTTGTGTCAACTCGGCCTCGTTACCTAATCAGTGTGGGATGTTTATCCCAATGTGTCAGGGCTCCGGGGTGTGACCAGAGGTATGTGGCTGACGCAGGGAAACGCAGACTTCAGATATGTTATAAACAATATAATTTATTAAAGACTAACAATACAAACAAACGCAGTGCACCAAACCCCAAGCTAACACAAATACATACAAGGTGAAACAAACCCAAACCTAAACTGATACAGATACACAGGTACATACACATATAGAGCACAACGTGATCAGGCAGGCCGGGTCGATAACTATCGGGCAGGTAGGTACAGGAGGAGCAGGCGGAGAGAATGGTCAGGGTCACAAGACAGGGATCAGAACAGGAGAAGTCAGCAAAGGTCAGGATCAAGCAGGGTCAGCAACAGGAACGCAGGTTTACAAGATACAGGGCCCAGGAAAAACACACACACCAAGGCAAAGACTGCAGGTCTGGCCATTACTTAAATACACCTGCATAAGCAGTTTCAGGTGTTTGGCTGGCTGCAGGGTTGAGTCTCTGATTGCTGGGAGCACCCGCTGGCCAGCCCTGGTACTGCAGCCCACAAAGGCAGGTGAGTCCCACCATTACTGGCAAGTCCATTCCTGACAGTACCCCCCCCCCCCTCAAGGAGCGGCCTCAGGATGCTCCAAACAGTCCTAGCTGGGCAAAATGTTCCACCGCCCGGGTCTGGTAACTGGCGGGATATCAAAGACCGGCACATCGGGCTGGACTCCGGGCAGCGGCACATCGGGCTGGACTCCGGGCAGCGGCACATCGGGCTGGACTCCGGGCAGCGGCACATCGGGCTGGACTCCGGGCAGCGGCACATCGGGCTGGACTCCGGGCAGCGGCACATCGGGCTGGACTCCGGACTCACCAGGCGGAGCGCGGCGCGGGGCCACAGGCGGAGCTGCGGGCGCCGGACCCCCAGGGGGGAGACAGGCATCGGGCCCCCATCGGGCTGGACAGGCATCGGGCCCCCAGCGGGGCGACATCGGGCCCCCAGGACTCCGACGGGCAGCGGCCCCCGGGCTGGGCGACGGGCATCGGGCCCCAGGCGGGGGACGGGCATCGGGCCCCCAGGCGGAGCGGCGGGCGCCGGGCCCCCAGGCGGAGCGACAGGTCTCCGGGCCCCCAGGCGGAGCGGCGGGCGCCGGACCCCCAGGCGGAGCGACAGGCTCGGGCCCCCAGGCGGAGCGGCGGGCGCCGGACCCCCAGGCGGGGCGACAGGTCTCGGGCCCCCAGGCGGGGCGACAGGCATCGGGCCCCCAGGCGGGGCGACAGGCATCGGGCCCCCAGGCGGGGCGACAGGCATCGGGCCCCCAGGCGGGGCGACAGGCATCGGGCCCCCAGGCGGAGCGGTGGGCACCGGACCCCCAGGCGGAGCGACGGGTCCGGCCCCCAGGAGGAGCGACGGCATCGGGCCCCCAGGCGGAGCGACAGGTCTCGGGCCCCCAGGCGGAGCGGGGGGCCCGGACCCTCAGGCGGGGCGACAGGTCTCGGGCCCCCAGGCGGAGCGGCGGGCGCCGGACCCCCAGGCATCGACAGGTCTCCCTAGGCGGAGCGACAGGTCTCGGGCCCCCAGGCGGGGAGACAGGCATCGGGCCCCCAGGCGGGGAGACAGCATCGGGCCCCCAGGCGGGGCGACAGGCATCGGGCCCCCAGGTCTCGGGCCCCCAGGCGGGGCGACAGCATCGAACCCCCAGGCGGAGCGGTGGGCGCGACCCCCAGGCGGAGCGGTCGGCCCCCCCAGGCGGAGCGGTGGGCGCCGGACCCCCCGGCGGAGCGACGGGTCTCGGCCCCCAGGCGGAGCGACGGGTCTCGGCCCCCAGGCGGAGCGAGGGCGCCGGGGCGACAGGTCCGGGCCCCCAGGCGGAGCGGCGGGCGCCGGACCCCCAGGCGGGAGCGACAGGTCACCGGGCCCCCCAGACGGGAGCGGCGGGCGCCGGACCCCCAGGCGGAGCGACAGGTCTCCGGGCCCCCAGGCGGAGCGGCGGGCACCGGACCCCCAGGCGGAGCGACAGGTCTCGGACCCCCAGGCGGAGCGGCGGGCACCGAGTCACCAGGCACAACAGTGGGAGTCAACTGGCATGATCGCTGGCACTGGGTCAGACATTGGATCGTCTGGCTGGACAGCGGGCATCGGGTCACCAGGCATCAGGTCATTTGGCTCGACAGCGGGCACCGCGTCATCTGGCAAGGCAGTGGGCACCAAGTCACCAGGCACGACAGTGGGCTCTGAGTCAATTGGCACGACAGCGGGCACCGGGTCATCAGGTACCGGATCGTCTGGCTCGACAGCAGGCACCGGGTCATCTGGCGCTATATCGTCTGGCTCGACAGCGGGCATCGGATCACCAGGCATGACCGCGGGGCACTGGATCATCAGGCATGACCGCGGGCACTGGATCATCAGGCATTGGATTGTCTGGCTCGACAGCGGGCATCGGGTCACCAGGTATGACAGCGGGCACTGGGTCACCAGGCATCAGGTCATTTGGCTCGCCAGCGGGCACCGCGTCATCTGGCAAGGCAGTGGGCACCGAGTCACCAGGCACGACAGTGGGCTCTTGAGTCAATTGGCACGACAGCGGGCACCGGGTCATCAGGTACCGGATCGTCTGGCTCGACAGCAGGCACCGGGTCATCTGGCGCTGGATTGTCTGGCTCGACAGCGGGCATCGGGTCCTCAGGTACCGGATCGTCTGGATCGACAGCGGGCACCGGGTCATCTAGCGTTGGATCGTCTGGCTCGACAGCGGGCATCGGGTCACCAGACATGACAGCAGGCACTGGGTCATCAGGTACCGGATCGTCTGGATCGACAGCGGGCATCGGCGCTGGATCACCAGGACATGACAGCACCAGGGATTGCGGGCACTGGGTCATCAGGCGTTGGATCGTCTGGCTCGACACATCGGGCATCGGTCACCAGGCATGACAGCGGGTCACCGGGTCATCAGGCATGATAGGATCATCAGGCTGGATCAGTTCATCAGGCTGGGTACAGACATCAGGTTGAAGTGCGGGTGCCGAGGCACCAGGCTGAACCACGGAAGGCAGGTTCTCAGACGGCAGGGCTCACCGGTTTGGATACTGTCAGAATGGACTTGCCAGTAATGGTGGGACTCACCTGCCTTGTGGGCTGCAGTACCAGGGCTGGCCAGCAGGTGCTCCCAGCAATCAGAGACTCAACCCTGCAGCCAGCCAAACACCTGAAACTGCTTATGCAGGTGTATTTAAGTGATGGCCAGACCTGCAGTCTTTGCCTTGGTGTAATGTCAGGGCTCTGGGGTGTGTGACCAGAGGTATGTGACTGACGCAGGGAAATGCAGACTTCAGATATGTTATAAACAATATAATTTATTAAAGACTAACAATACAAACATAAACGCAGTGCACCAAACCCCAAGCTAACACAAATACATACAAGGTGAAACAAACCCAAACCTAAACTGATACAGATACACAGGTACATACACATATAGAGCACAACGTGATCAGGCAGGCCTGGGTCAATAACTATCGGCCAGGTAGGTACAGGAGGAGCAGGTGGAGAGAATGGTCAGGGTCACAAGCCAGGGATCAGAACAGGAGAAGTCAGCAGAGGTCAGGATCAAGCAGGGTCAGCAACAAGACAGGAACAGGAACAGGAACGCAGGTTTACAAGATACAGGGCCCAGGAAAAACACACACACCAAGGAAAAGACTGCAGGTCTGGCCATCACTTAAATACACCTGCATAAGCAGTTTCAGGTGTTTGGCTGGCTGCAGGGTTGAGTCTCTGATTGCTGGGAGCACCCGCTGGCCAGCCCTGGTACTGCAGCCCACAAGGCAGGTGAATCCCACCATTTACCGGCACGTCCATTCCTGACACAATGTGCAATGTCTGTCTTTATTTATGTGGGGACTACCCCTATTTCTGAAGTGTAAAAATGTGTATACAGTATCTGTTCAATAAACAGTTCCAGTTTTCACCTAAGCTAGTGTTGTCTAGAACTTGGGTGTAATGCCCAGCTATAATACACCTTAGTCCTGTATCCCTGTGGCGAGGAAGCAGTTCTCTGAGGAAAGCACCCAGGCACGGTGCCAGGAGGTTCATCACAGTCAAGTAATACACTTGCTCTGTGGCTGAAAAAGAGCCAAAATTAGATGCAAAGACTGGCGTTAAGACTCATTCCTGCTCCGGTACAAGAGACACATTACTACTCCAAGGCTCAGTGCTCTATGGGCAATCAAAAGAGTGAATGTTTGCCTGCTGTATAGAGCTGGCTTCCTTTTGCCTAGTCTCCATCACTATGAGGGTAGCTATGGTATGATTGTTATTATACAATCCAGAACTTCCCTCTTTTTTAATGTAATCTTTATTTAGGAGAATAACAATTCAACAGAAAAATATTCATTTTGTCTCACTTCAAAACAGATACAGACAACCAGTTAGTAATGCGGCGTTCACACGAAACGAGCAGACACCACTTACTTGGCACATACTACAAGTTCAACACATGAGCCTAAACACCTATAAGGTGGCATACAAGCACTATATAAATAGACAGGCCCATCAGTCGAAAGTGCAGCAAAATAAATCAGAATAAGGCCAACAGAAAGCCCCCTCCAACTGAGAGTATGTAAAGAGACTGACAAGTAACCAACATTACTATGTAATTAGAAAACTTTACACTGTGTACAGTTTAACGGTATCAACACAATCAAGTATAAACAAGTGCCAACAGGGGGGAGAGGCCATGTATGTTCTAGCTTTAAGTTGAATCTAGACAGTGTACATAGTAGCTGTTGAAAAGAAAAATATATGAAAAAAAGTAAAAATACAATATTATGGTCAAATTGAAAAAAACAAAACAAAACATAAATAAATGAATGTATACCTGACCCATCAACATGACTGGAATCAACGATAGTGGCATGCTGCACTGAAAAAAATTTGGGAAGGGGTGGTGGTTTGGATGCAAAGAAAAAACAGCAGATCTGTGGCTTCTCAAGTTGAGAAAGCGATCACTGTGAGGGGTCCACTAGCGCCAACAAGGCTACAACCAAACTGGAGGGCAGTTGGTCGGGGTCAAGTGTAATCTTGCCACATCGTTCGAATACGCAAATACTATTGAGGCGCTCTCGGGTACCCCTGCAAGTTGCCACCCAATCCTCAGTATCCATAATCTCATTCACCTTCCTAATCCATTCCTCATGAACTTGAGCTCGCTTCCAATAAAAAAGGAATAATCTCTAAGCAGCGTTCAAAAGGTGTAGTAGGACATAACGCTTATATTGGCTAAGCAGGAGGGTGGGTATGTGGAGTAGGAAATAGATCGGGGAGAGAAGAACGTTCAAATCAAGGATTTCATTTTTCTGGGCCTTAACGTCGGTCCAGAAGGTCCTAATCACAGGCACTCCCACCACAAATGCAGAAGAATACCACGCTGGCCACAGCCTCAGTAACAGAGATCTGGGGTAGAGGGGTAAATGAGCAATAAAGCTGTGGGAACGCTATACCAATGCAACAAATATCTTATAATTGGTTTCTTGAGTTTTGGAGTCTATGGAACTGGAGACCGATTCCCACTCCCGAATATAGGCGGGTTTTGTATCTTTGAAAGTGGAGCTCAGCAGTGATAAAGTTCTGAGACTATGTGAGGTATAGACTCCTCAGCTATGAAGTGATACTCAAATAGGGTCAGTGAAGACACAGCCCTAACAGAGTGGCCCTAGGTGGTAAATAAATTACAAAGTTACCTATGTCGCCAAAATTCCATAGGAAAACCCAAAGTGGTCCCCGAGGGTCTGTAGTGGAAGTAGCTTACCACTCTCCAGGAATTTACCGCAACCAACGATGCCATCAGAGGAACCAGATGGCCTCCAAGTGGAGCCAGCAGGGACACAGAGGAAGCAAGGGAAAGTAAATGATTACAAACTCAAAGAGCACGGGTTGTCAAAGATGAGGTGGATTCTGGCAAACCTCTGTGCTCCCGGGATAACAATTGGCATAGGATAGGTTACATCCCACCATACATTTCTCAAGACTAACTATTTTGAGAAAAAAAAAACAATATTTTTGACATTTTGCTATTAAACATGTCCAGTAAAAAAAATGTAAAAATCAAATTTAGTCAAATTTAGGGCAAAATATATTTTGCTACATGTCTTTGCTAAGAAAAATCCCAATACATGTAAATTAATTGGTTTACGTGAACGTTATAGCGTTTACAAATGGCGGTATATATACTGGAATTTTTTATTTTTTTTTTAATGGAGAGGATCAGTGACTTATAGCGGGATTGCAGCGAGCATTCCGACACTGGGGGGAACTGATTTGGTGTCATTGACATCCCCAGTGACACCAATACAGTGATCAGTGCTAATAAAAAGCACTGACACTGTACTAATGGCACTGGGCAGGAAGGGTTAACATGTGGGGAGATCAAAGTGTTAACTGTGTGCTGTTTTACTGTGGGCTGTGTTAGTGCTTTCCACTGCAAGCACACTGATTTGCAAAGCTGTGTGCAGGAGCTGACGGGAGAGAAATGCTCCTCAATCACCAGGTGCTGGGGAGTAATCACCGACCGGAAACCGGTGATTGACAGCCGAGGCCGCGGGTAGGGCTCGCGTGCACCCCCAGGCCGGGAAAAAAAAAAAAAAAAAAAAAAAAAAATATATATATATATATATATATATATATATATATATATATATATATATATATATATATACACACACACACACACACACACACACACAAAACACACATTATTTTGCGTACCCCTGCTGCCCTGTAGCAGTATATCTGCTATAGGGCTGCAGGAAAACGTAAGGTTGGAAATCATGCCAAAGTTCCCGACACAGATTAGGCAGCGAGATCAGGGGGACCATGAGGTGCCAGCATAAACAGGTAACTTGTGTACCGCATTCCCCACCTTTATCCCTTTTTATATCCGGGTTTGCTCGAACAGACCGGAGGAACAGCTCCAGTACCAGAGCAAAGAAAGGTGAAAGGGAGCATCCCGGTCTTGTACCTTTCCATATTGGGAACCTAGATGAGAGCAGACCATTAACCTTGACCTGGGCACTAGGTGTAGGATACAGGGCTGTAATCCATTGCAACATATGCGGTCCCAGTTCAGGATTCTCAAACTGCCCTAAGGGAAGACCAGTCCACACGGTCAAACACTTTTTCTGCGTCAGTTGATAAAATAATATAAGGCTTAGGCTCCCTGCGAGTATAATCCCAGTGGATAAGTTGAAAAGCCCAAAGCGAACTATCTCTAGCCTCACTGCCAGTTACGAAGCCCGTTTGGTCAGGATGGACAATAAATAGCAAAAGATGCTTCAGATGATTCGCTAGGATCTTTGCAAAAATGTTTATGTCTGGGCTGAGCAGCAAGATTGGGCGATAATTTTGTGGTAGGGTGTGATCCTTACCCTCCTTGAGAAGCACCGTAATGTGTGTCAACAAGGCCTCTGAGGGAATGTAGGGGACGTATCAAAAGGGTAGAAACTTAGCGTAATATGCTTTCGTGTAGCCATCCAGGCCTGGACTTTTTCCACAGGGCAAGGACTTCACCGTGGCCTCTATTTCAATGGGGGTAATGGGAGACTTCAGGTCTGTTTGCTGGTCAAGCAGCAGAGAGGGGAGACCAGCGGAGGTATAAGCGGCGGGGGTGAGCTTTGCATCAATATTATAAAGGTAAGCATAATAATCATGGAACAGCAAGGAGATTTGGGGGGGGGGGGGGGGGTGAGAAAATCTCCAGAAGGAGGTTGGAGTTTGTGCACATAGGTCTGAGCTCACCGCTTGCAAAGGGCTCTGGCCAGCATTCGGATACATTTGTAACCGTGTTCATAATATTTGAGGGAAGTATAACGTAGTTGCCTGCAAACGCAGTGATCCAGGAGGCGTGAAAAAAAGCTCGAG